GGATTTGAGCTTTGTATAAAAGAAGAAGGTGCTTGAGTGCAAAGAAACGCCTTGCGCGGAATAGAAAACCAACTTTGCGCGCAGCGCGAGAGACAAGTGTAGAGATAAAAGGGGACCAAAAGAGAGAAGAATTTATGGATAAACCCAGGAGGAAGAGGAAATTTGTGGAACGAAGAGGTAGAGAGTCAAAAATCAATTGAGGAGAAAAGGAGATATGTTTAAGAGAGACTGAGAGGAAAGAAGTTTTGGAAGCATTGAAACGCATATGGTTGGTAGAACCCCATGCGGAGATTAGTCCGAGATCAGAGACAAGGGAAGCACNCTGATGACATTACGATCGTGATCAATGTTGGCATTAGCTTGACGGATTGTGGGGTAAGAAAGAGAACAATGGAGAGTGGCATCATCGGCAAAGCAGTAGACAGGATTAGATGTTTGGGATAAAAGTGTTGTGTTTGTTCTAGCCGTACGAATGACACGAGCGACACTTGCTTAAGCCCCAACGACAACGCGGAGATAGAACCCAGGTTGAGACCACCGTCAGAGTGTATTCCTTGATTGGATATCGATACGCAAAACACATAGAACTAATCGTGCACACGAGAATGGCGCAGTGATGCACCAATCAGATTGTGTCCCTGACATATCGATTGATCGATTGGACAAACATTGACTGACACGTTCTGTGATCATCCAATCAGGTTCAGCCTGTCGGGAGCGTTGCGAGCGTGCGTGTGACCTGACTAGGAGGCGTGCGCGATCGGACGGGTTGCTCCGTCCCAACAAAAAGATCGTTAATAAATAAGAGAAAGAGGGTGGGCGAAAGTATGGAACCTTGGGGAACACCGACGTTTACAGGAAATGGCCGAGATAGGACCCCATCTACTCGGAGATGGTTCGCTTGCTGAGGAAACAACGAAGCCACGATACCAGAGACGGGTGGAATCCGAACGTGGGTAATTTCGATAGCAGACCTTCATGGCAAACGCGGCCACAGGCCT